TTACAGAATTATTAAGATAGATCTTATATTATAAACTTATTTATATTATATGATTTTGATAAATACATGAATGTTAAGTTTTTGTGTTTAATTTGTTTTTTAAGGTACTTCAAAGGAGTAAAAATACATATTACAGGGTCATCCGTTTTGTGATTCCAAAAGTAAATTAGAATAACATCTACTTCTATTGGAGACTTCGATCAAATGCACAAAAACAGATTGCATGAATGATATTGTGTGTAGAGGTGTGACAGGTCTGTATCTTTTTAAAATGACGAAGGTATGCCCATAAATCATCAATTCTATCCACTCTATCCACTCTAATCACTGAATTATCAATTTCATAAACCCTGAAATTAAAGATATAGATATGGAAGACATAATACGACCTGTTAAGTGTATATTTGATATCATATAAAATATAATAATGAACTCGATCAACTGATGGAAGGTGACACAATAATCAAGCACATAAAAAAACAACACTTGAAATGGATAGGACAGGTTGTGCGGATGCCAAAAAAAGAGCAGCAACGAGTGAATCTTCGAGAGTGAAATTAGAACAACTGTAGAAGAAAACTGAAGAAAAAACAATAGAAGAAAATGAAGACTGAGAAAGAAATGGAGTGACAGGAGTGAGGGATATGAGTGTCATCAACTGAAAGTTAAAAGCCAACAATTGAGAAGAATGGAGGAATGTCGTGAAACAAGTTTAGATCCTATATGGACTGTATATCTATGGATAATGCTGATGATTATGATGATGAAGTATGTATTTGAAACGTGAGAAATATTCCGGATATGGTATTTCACATATTGGAGATGCCTTTTAATCATCAAGGTAATGCAATTTCTCACTACTGGAGGTTTTTTTTTGTGTCGTAATAGAAAGGATTCTATTTATGTGTAAATAGTTCTCAAGCATTCTATGTTTTGAAATGGACATTCAATAAGTTATAATCAAGTTATAGCCAATTATATACTAATAAGCCAACGTAAATCACATAAAAAGGATCAAGTGTTGTTATATATGCCGTGTAGGATTTTTGAATATATTTCAACATAGCGAAAAATAAATTTTATTAAATTTTACAAGTGCATTTTATTTATTTTCACTTTTATTTGCATAAAATTGGTAACCCTGTATAAACATAATATTGAACATATATATATTTCAAGTTCAATGATTGTTCAACATAATATGGCATATGAATATTTTTCGTCATACCCATCGTAAATATGAATTATTAGTAGATACTTGCCATACATACAGGTGCGTATGGAATGTCGCTATCTACGGTTCAGCCCAGTTTAATGCTCAGTGGCACTGCTATTCAGGATACATATGTAGAATAACACGTGCACCACAGGACATTTTATTTATAAATAAATTCTACTTAAATTCTCATAACGAAAAATTCGAATCAATTTTAAAGCAAAATAAACATCTTTTTTCACGACATTTAATGTGTTTTTGGTCATAACACAATTTTAGGTTAGATAAGAATTTAAGGTTATGTATGTATTGCTTATATATTAGTAATATATATTATTTAAAAGACATTAATTAATCACAGCCAAAGGTGAATCGATTGATAACTATGTGTGTATTGTTTAATCATAAATGAATGCTTTGCCCTTATAAAAATATATTTTTAAAAATTTTTCTAAGAACTGAAATTCAGTTTTAAATATTAGAAGCGTTATATTAAAACTGTGTAAGTTTTATCCAGTAATGTTAGCATTTTTAGAAAAGTCTGTATATCTATCAATTACTTCAATATGGGTACTGGAACATAGGAACATTCTTAGGAACGAAATATCCGATGAAGTAGTCAAAAGTGTCGTACGATTTTCAATAACATCAGTTTTAATAAACTTATTTGAAACGGTTATATGAACAGAATATATAAAGGCATATATTCATTTAAGGATTCCCTTACCTCAAGTATCTATCACTAAAATTACTACATTAATATTATGTATGACATTTCTATATTATATTGCTATGTACATATTAATTTAATTTAGTATTATGTATTTGAATATGTATGTCTTTAACTCCTAAATGAATGAGTTTGCTGATAACATGGCCATTGAAGCTGAATAACTATATCTCCAGAATTAATTTTCGACATAAGCATAAACAGAATTGCTTTATAAGGTCTATAACTTCGCGGTATTGGTTCACAAAAAACTTTAATTTGAATGAAAAATTGTAAAACAGCATGCCGAAGCAGGTATCATCACAGATTCGCAATGTCAATGATGTTTCCAGTAAGTAAGTACTTTTTTAAGATTATAGGTTCAGAATAAATGTCGATGTCCTACAGAATTCATTAATGGGGTCAATGACTTTATAGACTTTGTCCATCAGAGAAGATGACTCGAAATGGAAACTTGCAAAATGATAGCGAGTTTAAACCACAGTTTCGACATCTTGTCTCCAGGATATAAACATAACTTCCAAAATATAGGTCTCGAAGTTATTTTCGGTGTCATGCAGAATTGCTCAATTAGGTCAATAACTTTGTGTGCTTTGTCCACAAAGAAATGTAATCCGTAATAGAAATTTGCAAAACAAAATGTCCACGGCGGGTATTATCAGAGATTTGACATGTTTCGAAAATATTGACACCGCACAGTGTAGTTCGTCTATTATTGGCCAGTATTTGCAAGAACTACTTTAAGATTGTTGGATTATAGGTTGATTACGAATAGACTAAATTGTCAAATTACATAATATTTATCTTTTATTTACTGATATTAATAATTACTACTGAAAACTGTCCCAAATGGTATTATTTAGATTAGTTAATTATTTTTTTTAAAACTTTTACTTGAGTACACAATGATTACATATTTGAAATATCTAATTTTATAGTTCTTGCATTATATTAATAACCCAGCAGCTTATAGTAATTTATAGTAGCATCGATGCCAGAAGAATCACAATGGCATCGATGCTTTATTGATGCTCAAGCAGCTTCGAGAAAGTAATATGCAAAATTTATTGCTTTATGCTGTATTTCATCTCAATATTTTCTAAAAATTTTGTCGCTCATTCATCAACTCTTTCGCCTGTTGGAAATTGATTAAAAAGATTAAGAAATGTTAAATATTGCTTTAAATCTATCAGGTTTATGTGTATTCTCGAGTAGTCAGTACTACTTTAGGTAAGTATCTATGCAATTAATCTGTATTTTTTTGCGACTTTGTTTCGACTTGGAGCGCCAGTGCATATATTTACTTATATTTATTCTGATAATATTTCCATTAATTTATAAACTTTATAAATTTGACTTTATAAATTTTATAAAATATTTTATTAATTCTTAACAAA